CAGGAGGGTGTTAGTGATGAGCCAGGGGTGTTAGTGGGTAGACCAGGAGGGTGTTAGTGGGAGCCAGGAGGGTGTTAGTGGTAGGCCAGGAGGGTGTTAGTGGTAGGCCAGGAGGGTGTTAGTGGTAGACCAGGAGGGTGTTAGTGGTAGGCCAGGAGGTGTTAGTGGTAGACCAGGAGGGTGTTAGTGGTAGACAGGAGGGTGTTAGTGGTAGGACCAGGAGGGTGTTAGTGATAGACCAGGAGGTATTCGGTGAGTAGACCGTCTATAATAGAAAAGAAAAACCCGTTATTTCTCCAAAAGGTCCATGGAGTGATTATTGGTAATGAACAGTATTACTCTCACCCTCAGTCAACATGTACTGTGCTTTCTCTCTCTCTCTAATTCTTCACAACTGTTCACATTGTTCCATGCAAAATGACATCCTTGATCGTGAGCAGTGACCTTTGCCCGTGATCATGATACGCCTTTATAATACTTCACAATAATAATACACCTTTTTTAATACTTTGTGCGTGTCTTTGTAAGGCGGTGTTGTTGTAAATATCCAACACACTTCGTTGCATAGTGGGAACGTTACAATATAAGTTACTAATGATAATAATATTTTTGCTAACCACTTTACCATTCCGTATCACAGCGCCACGCGAAGCGGATTTCATGAGGATATGAGTCGAGATGAGGGGGGGGAAGGGAGGTACTCGGAAGCTTGTTTTCATATGTCTTAGCTGAACTTTGGTTACAATATTGATAAGGTGTAAAGGCCTGGCCTGTGGGATATAATTCCCTTGCCAACCTAATCAGGATCTTATCAAAGGAAAGTCAAGAACTATGGGTTTCCAAGGGGTATTAAACAACCGGAAGAGAGGACATCTCTTTACTATGAAATAATCACAAATATTTAACTCTGTCACTACTCCCACAAACATTAAATAAACAGCACTGGAGTCAAACACAATTACTAAAACAAAGCATATTGATCAATAGAAGAAAGTACAGCTATTTCCTCCCGCTATAAATGAATCTTCCTTCTAACCAGCGCTGTAGAATGCTCTGGTAACGCAGTGAACTGTCCCTCATCAGAGCGAGGTCCGAGTGAAGCATTCGGCCTCGCCTCCAAAACTCTCAGGCGTCCGCTCTTAGAGGGAAGGTCCAGGGCAGCTTCCTCACTTGGCGCCGGCGTTGGTTGGCGATGTCTTGCCACACAAGAGAGACGCCAGGGCACGGACGGTGGATAGGACGTGGAGGAAGTGGTTATCACGTGGCAATCGCGGCAGCAGCTGGAGTAGGTAACCAGAGTTGACAGTCGAATAGTGAAGGACTGGGGAATCAGCCCACGAGCCCCAGGAACCTCCAATGAGTACACAACCAGAGAAAAAATCGAACAGCTGGGCGAAGTAACAGCTGGGTGCAGTAACAGCTGTGGTGAAGGCTTCTCACCTACCCCCAGCCCTCGGCATTAATAGCTTGGCTGAGACCTAGAACTTCTCTACTAGTAGTCCAAGTGTAATAGCTCAAATAGACCTCAATCCTGGAACACTCCTGCAACAAGCTGAAATTTTCAAGAAAGACTCATAAAAGTGTGATAAGAAACATAAAAGTCCCCCAAACATCTTACTTGTGCTAATGCAGGAATTCCGGATGGCATCCAAGATGGCATCCAAGATGGCCGCCATTTGCAACTAGACATGGTAGAAATATGAACAAAGTGTCTAAACATAGGTTTTCAGACATGGCCAATTCAATAAGACCATACAGTATATAACAGGATAAAATAAAAATAAGATTGTTGCCATTTTTATGTTATATTAATTTTGCAACCAGACATAATATTTGATAAATTGATTATATCAAAGGCAAGCTTGGTAATTTTGTTTCATATTATTTTGGTATGGAAGAAGTCCATAATGCTAAAAACTGGAAAAGTTTATTCCTATTTCAAATAATAGATATCTTGTATGAGCTGCAGTGTGATGCTGGGTTGGACTGATGTGGCAACAATTGGAGATAAGGGCCGCAGGACACTTACGTTAGACAACATCAAGTGAGATGACGGGTCTCAACAGAAGCTGGAGAGAATATCACTATACAGGAGAGAGCACGATAACAGCTACAACAAGGAAGTCATCGGCTAGTGTGATACACGAGGAAGAGGCACCACTATAGTCATCAGGTGTTTCTACATTTGATATTAAACATGAATGTCAGTTTTTTTCAGAAGCTAAAACTGTGGACAAGAAAATACAACCCAAACGCAGGTGAGACAGCAGCAGTGTAGAAACCTTAGGATTTCATAACACCATCTAGAAACAAGGCTCAGAAAAACAATATGATTGGGGAAATGCTTTTATAGAACGCATACGACATGCTTTTGATAGTGTCAGCTGAGACAAAATTTCATCGTAATTGTGCTCAAGTATTTCTCCGGAACTGAGACGAAAAGGACGAATGCATTGGTAGACCATCTGATTAAGTTCAGGAGGAAACTTTTTGCTTTTCTTGAGAAAGATGGATGTCAGTACTCTCTACCAGAGCTTTTAGAGTACTGTACATGGACACGTACTTAAATGGACGAGATGGAAATGCATTGATGTACTTCAAGCAAATGTTTAAGAAACATTATGGTGACGATATCACAATGACAAGCATCACCGGAAAGTCGAGCATCGTCAGTTTTCGTGACTCAACACAAAATCCTTCGTGAAAGGTGGATTATTGATAGGGTAATTAACTAAAGTAATGAGACTGAACGTATCATTGATATGGCTGCCTCAATAATCCTTGATGATTTCCGGTTGAGAGTAAATGATTGTGATGATTGCCTGACAATGGAAGAAATGGAAAATGGTAATACCTTGATACCTGGTTCTCTAAAGCGTATCATGTGCAGTTTGGTGGACTGGAAGTATAAAAGTTCTTAGACTATCAATAGGAGATGTACAGCCATAGCACATGCCATTATTTCAGCATACTAGCCCAAGTCCTTCATTTCACCAGTGTTGCTCTGTGTATCTGTGAATATACCCCGCAAGTGTGCTTACCGAGAACTGATAGACATTTTGACCAGCTTAAGCTTCGCTGGAAACTATAAAGAGGTACAGCGGTTTGAACAAGCCCTGGTATCAGGTGAAGAAGCATTTAATATCTTAGGTGGTTTCATACAGTCTGTGTATTACAACGCTGATTTCAGTGTAGTTACAGCTACTGGTCACAACACATTCCACTGTATGGGAGGCATAGCTTGTGTAACTCCTCCTGATACTGTGGCTAACTCGCCCGTAAAATATACAGCCAAAATACCATCTGCTGAAACAGTTAACACTTTTGGAAACATTCCTAGAAAGACATAACTTGCTGTTCCCAGTGTGGCAATAGGGCGCCTCAAAACTAATGACCAAAAATCACAGAACCTGAGCTCAGTAGCTGCCCTAGAGTCCTTGTGGACTGTTGGCTGTATTCTGGAACTGGTTCCATGTCCTTCATGGAGTGGTTTCATGACAGTGGCCATGGGGAATGGTCAACATGAAAGAGCCGAATAGAACTCCCCCTTTCATCAATCTGAACCCCACCAATCTAATCACTATTTACACAGCATTAAGCTTGGCACAAACACAGTGTGAAAAACATGGTCTGAGAATATGCACAGTTACATTTAATCAGCTATGACGTCGGTAACACTGGCCAGATTATGACGGGAAGTGGCCTAGCAGAGATGTGGAAAATGGTGTAAACAAAAGGATCAGTTATACACATGTTAACTGGCCATGCTTTCTTCTGTGCACATCTGCCTCATGGACAACATCATTAAATATCACTTTAGGAACCTTCACAAAATCCCTCTTAACCATTAACCTACTGGATACTTTTATACAGACTGAAAACACCCATGATAAAGTGAAGGGTGCAGGAGAAAGCTTCAGTCTCAAGTTGTATGGAACCGACATTTAAATCACTTGATCAATACCGCCACAGAGCCTACAAACGGAAAGCCGGTAAAGGTTCCCTAAGTATATCATTTCAGCTAGCAAGTGTACCTCCGATTAGTGATGCAGCAAAGCAACAGTCGTTCCGTACTTATCTCGGTTCAGGAACGAATGGGAAATCCTTTACCACCAACAGAATGGGGATGGAGATCACATGACGATATCCATACACCTGTGGAAACTGTTGCCCCTCACACCTTGCTAAAGGTGATATCATGGCTGATGCAAAGCCGGTTGTGGGAAGTCATGTGGGTGCAAGACACCTGGGCTGCTTTGTACATCAAAGTGCAACAAATGCATCAACACTCCACCCATATTGCTGGTTAATGATGATGATGACAAGGACACTGATAGCCAACATAGCCAACATAACACAATGATAATATTTTTTAATTATATTGTTTATGCATGACTGGAAGGTTGCCTGGAAGAATTTTATTTTCATTTCATGATATTGCAATTGCTATTTTTAAATCATGTAATTAATGTCTTAACATGATAGCTCGTTTCTGAAAACATAATAGTTTATACAATTTTCGTATTTATATATTTACAGCAAGTTTGATTACTAGTATGATACCATATAAAAAGGCTGCCATCTTCTTTTTGTTATATCCTATAAGAATGGTTTATCGAATTGGCCATGTCTGAAAACCTATATTATGTTACTGTTCATATTTCTACTATGTTTAGTTGTAAATATATAATATATTATAGAATGGCGGCCATCTTGGATGCCATCTTGAAATCCTGAGATAGCATAAGGAAGATGGGAATTTTTTATGTTTCTTATCACACTTTTATGAGTCTTTCCTGAAATTTTGAGCCTTTTTCCAGTTTGTTCCAGGTTTGACCATATTGTTCTTGAACTACAGTATAGGCCTTCTTACATACGGACCAACTACTAACACGAGTTCGAATCCCACAGGCATAAGGTCTTCAGATGAACCTGGCCCAAACTAACTTAACTAAACCTACCTTTAACTTTTCCTAACATTATCCATCTCTCCTCTACAGGTGTCTTGGCTCCGACACAGGGATACACACCTTCTCACTGTAGGGCCCTATACCTATACTTCAGATCAGAGGTTCAGGGCGCTTCACACATCAGGGTCCGAGGACTGGGCACTGACTGTCAGATTCGCTCAAGTAAGAGATTCCGGCATGTACGAGTGTCAGGTCTCCACCACACCACCTATGAGGCATTACATCTGGCTCTCTGTTGTAGGTAAGTAACACATCTCACTCACTAATGTACGTGAGTTACACATCTGGCTCACTGTTGTACGTGAGTAACACATCTGGTTCACTGTTGTAGACGAGTAACACATCTGGCTCACTGTTGAAGGTGAGTAACACATCTGGTTCACTGTTGTAGACGAGTAACACATCTGGCTCACTGTTGTAGACGAGTAACACATCTGTCTCACTGTTGTAGACGAGTAACACATCTGGCTCACTGTTGTAGGTGAGTAACACATCTGGCTCACTGTAACAGGTGTTCACTACATCTAACATACTACTGCAGGTTTGTGCCACATCACACCTACAAGGGTGGACCAGCATCCGTCGTTATCTTACAGTTGAGATTTATATTGCGGGGGGGGACGCTGTTATAAAGCTTACCCCACCAATTATCTCCCCACTAATAGTCACGTTATCTCCCCACTAATAGTCACGTTATCTCCCCACTAATTGTCACGTTATCTCCCCACTAATAGTCACGTTATCTCCCCACAGAGCCCAAGACTACTATATACGGGGGTGGTGACATTTTCATCAACAAGGGCAGCAACATCAACCTGACTTGTGTGGTGGACTACACACCTCGGCCGCCTTCCTACGTCATATGGAAACACAACAGCAATGTGAGGCGTGGGGAGGCGCATGGGGGTTTAGGGAGCCGCATAGAGCGTAGGGAGGCGCATGGGGCGTGGGGAGCTGCATGGGGCGTGGGGAGGCGCATGGGGATTTAGGGAGCCGCATAGAGCGTGGGGAGCTGCATGGGGCGTGGGGAGGCGCATGGGGCGTGGGGAATAGAGTGCTGACACAATGATTACACAAGTTGAATAAATAAACAATAATTGTTAATGGTGGTAAAGGTTCGGTCACTGCTCCATTATTAGTGGGGCAGCTAAATGCAATTTTTCAAGAGAATCATGCAAATGGTGATACAAGCACTAAATCTGGCATGGTAATTTTCTAATGGTTACTTGTCAAGTAGTCTTATTGGCCATTTGAAAATCCAAGATGGGGGCCATTTTTCAAGATGGCCGCCATATAGACCTTCAAAAGTTGATTTTTCTTATAGAAATTGATGTAGTTGGTCAATCTGAATGATCTTGGTGTCGATATGTATGTTTTCAAGCATGCTCAGATGATTTGTTATAGTTTTAAGTCCATTGTAACATTTTTATCCACATAAAATAACATGTTTAGTAATAAAATATAACAAAAAAGAACTTACTATACAAAAAAGTACTCACGATTAGCACTGGTTCCTGTGACTTCTCTTGACAGTACATCTTTGTGCATTTACTGCTGTTCACATGCGCAGCTGCAAAGTGTTGTGCAGGAAAGTCCAGAGCGAAAGCATTTGCATCTCTGGCCGCAGTCTTTCTTACAGGAACACTTGGTCAGCTCCTGACAGCATGTCGCAATCGGGGTAAGAGTCGTCCAACGTATCTGCCATGCCTCTACCTTCTGCGTCCATCCCCAGATGACAGGACTGCTGGTTTCTGGATTGGAGATTGTTGCCTGGCCACAGATGATACCAGCCTGGTAGGCAGCCCGCTTTGCATGTTCCTTGAGGGCTGCCTGGGGTGGTGGAATGGAGTCATATGGTCTCTCACCAGCCTGCTCAGGGCTTGGATGCTGGAAGATGGACACACTGGTCCCATGGAAGGACGTTTTGGCCGTAGTCGCAGTGGGGTTATGGTCAATGTTGTCCACTGCTGAAGTCGTAAACAACTGCTTCCTCAAGATTGGTGGACACACCACTCCATCTTCCACGTATTGGCCTACAACTGCTTCTCCTAGCTGGGATGATAATTGTAAAACTCTGTCATATGAAATGCTGACCCCATTTTCATGTAGCATGTCGATGAGCTGCCTCTTTCTTGTCTTAGCAAACACAGACATTCCGACGTAGAGAGCAAAAGGTGTCTCATGGTCCTTGGAGTGTCTGTGGATTTGTGTTCCTACCTTGTAGTTGGCAAAGCAGTTGTACTGTAAGAGCTGTGACATAGCAAGGTCGGACTTCGATGCGCCAGGCTGGAGTTGGGATTTGATATCTGCACCATGTTCGATCATGCATACAAATTGAAGCAGTGATGGTGGAACAGCCTGTTCAATGCATCCTTCATGAAATGTACTGCTGAAGTGTGACGTGTGCTGAAGCATGTCCCGTCGCATCATCCCAGCAGCCTTGGCCAGATGGATCGCGTCACCGTATTTGCTTGCTTGTGCCAGGATTGAGCCAACATCCTTCTCAAAGTCCAGTAGGATATCTCTTCCTTGGTGATGAGCTTGCAGCTGGGGGATGTGAAAAAGCAGCTGGTCCTTCAGTCGAGTTGCATGAACATCGGGCGATCCAACATCCAGCTGATCAAGTCTTTGTCTGTAGTGTGACCAGGTCAGCAAGTCTGAAAATGGGTGGTTCAGTACCTTCACTAGAAGCTTTCATCTGAGTGATGCAAGTGACCAGTTCAGAGAAAGCAGTTGGGTATGCGTCCTTGTTCGGATGAAGCTCTTGTGCTTCTTCTTGCTCATGAGCATTTCGGTGTTTTCTTTCTCGGTTGTACAGGTCTGCCAAACAGCGAGGGTGATACTTCAGTTCTTGTGCCACAACATCTTCCTCACATAGAAAGCATTCTGTTGCTTTGGGGTCTCTGACCATTCGTGGTATCTTGCTGCTGCTGCTCTCCCCTGTAGCAACTGCAGAGGTTCGCCTTTTCTGAGCTCTATTTAACTTTGTGTTGTTGAACAGAAGTCTGCAACTCTCATAATACTGTGCCTTGTTTCTCGTCAAGGTCTCCTCTACCCCATCATCTTCAACAAGTCTTGCAGGGTCAAGCTTGATTGGCAGTGCATTGATTGAATGAAATAGAGGAATATTCCTTGCCAAGCTCTTGTAACCGTCATCTCCTTTTTTGGCAGGATTTGCATGTGGAGACTTAAGATGTTCCTTCTTATCCTGTTGACAAAGACAACACTTTGCCCAGTCAGTGAGGAATTATTTGTTGGTAAATTTTGCGTCCATAACTATTTTTGATCTTCAGGGCCGAGGGTTTATCCTTTTACCACCCTGATGAGCACATTCTTGTATGGGATACAACTAGGTTCATGCCTTTTGCCCTACACCTAGTACGATCGTTCATCCAGTGTCATTAGTCCCGTGCGATCTGTACACCATCCAGATAACTAAAACCCCGTTATCCTTGGCTCAGCTCCCCCGCGCTGGCACATCCTGCCAATTCAGGTGCGGCTGCTTAACTGATTTGGGGTTGGTTAAGCAGCATTTGGGACACTAAGCTGTTGCAGTATGAAAGTTACTAGTGTGCCCTGAAGAATGCAGTGATGGCTAGGGAAACACTGAGTAACACTGAGTCCGTTTATTGTGGATGAGAGAAATACAAGTGGTGACCAGCGTGTGCCATGCACGGCTCACACAGTCAGACTGGGGCTGCCTTGCCATATGGCAGCCTCGAGGCAATGTTGCCACATAACACGTGCAGTGTTGCCACGTGATTATATATATAAATGCTACTCGGCACAGTAGCTTATGTACAGGGTTGCTACTCGGCACAGTAGCTTATGTACAGGGTTGCTACTCGGCACAGTAGCTTAGATACATAACCTACATCTCCCTCCCCCCTCACGCTCATAGTCTTTGTCTTGAGCGGACTTCTTAGTTCTAAGTCGCTCCGAGCGTCGAGGTGCACTGTGGGGCGGATCCTCGTGAGGTGTAGGTGACTCGTCTTCGGTCAGGGGGCCAGCAGCAGGGGGTGGGACTGGCCGGAGGAAGCGGCGGTTCCTCCACCAGACACGGCCGCTCGGCATCCTGACCTTGTAGTCCCGCGACCGGCCGACGCCCATCACTATGCCCACCTTGTCCCAACGTGTCGTCGTCGGGTCCTGGACGCGGGCAAGGGCACCAATCTCCAGTGGCTGAAGAGGGCGGGCACGGTCGTCATACCGAGCCTTGGCGTCCTGGGCACGTGAAGCGGCGCGGCGGTCGCAGCTCTCGGCTCTGGTCTGCCACTCCTTCGCAAAGGCCTTGGCATGTGCAGGAACGCAAGAGCGGAGAGGGTGGCCATACAGGATCTGGGCAGGGGAGCGTCCTGTGTGGGTGGGAGTGGACGCGGGTTCTGGGCAGCTCCGTGCGGCAGCGCCAGGCGCGTCGCTCATCGACTCACGCACCCTGCTGGCGGTGTAACGAGCAGCTGGGATCTGCTCGGGAAAGTCTCTGGGCACCACGCCTAACTCCTTGCAGTGCTCCCACGACAACAAGGGTGTAGCGAGAGTAGGCTGCACGTCGATCCATCCGTGACACGACCTGTCGCCGTAGGTGATCTCTGCTTGAAAGGAGCCCACAGCGTCCGGCATCTGGGAACCGTCCGCATTGTAGTACTGCAGCTGCGGCGGTGGTCCCAGGCCGCAATTGGTGAGGCCCAGTTTCTGGAGGTGCTTCAACCCAATCACCGTAGTATCGGCGCCGGTGTCCGGTATCACCTCGATGTGACCCGACACATCACCGTGTGTGACGGCGACGCAGATAGTAGGGGAAGGGGTAGCCCTGGGGCGTGTGGTCGATTCCACCCTCCTGATGTGACTCTGCTGCTGCTTGGGGCTGCGTGGGCCATCTGGAGGGGGCTGCGTGCGAACCACCCCGAGGGAAGTGCACTGCTGTCCTCGTCTCGGGCTTTTGGGCTTGGGTTGGTGGCAGCACTTGTCGTAGTGTCCATAGCGACCACAGGCCTGACACTTGTGGCCTCGTGCAGGGCACCTGTCTGTGTTAGACCAGTGGCCCTTACGGTCACATCCACGACACAGTGCGTCGGCGGCCGGGCAAGTCTTGGGGCTGTGCTGCTTTCCACAGCTGCCACAGGAAGCACTAGGCAGAGGCGTGGAAGAACGTGTGGCAGCCTTCACATTGTTGGCCGCCTTCTTATCCTTCTTGTATTGTGAGATAGCTCTCACAGCAGGTGGGGCCCATAAGGCAGAGGTGGCGGACTTAGTGGCCTCGTATGACCGACATTCAGTCACTACCACCTGGAGTGTGGAGGAAGCGTCCAGGGGGATGAGTCGCTGCATCAACTCTTCGTGCCTGACACCTGTCAAGATCCCGTGCTTGATCCAGGCTTCCTCACATTCCCGGCTGTGCGCCTTGCAGACGTCGATCTCCTCAGACAAACTCTTCAAACGTACAAAAAAGTCGTCAAAGGATTCGTTCTCCGCCTGCTTGCAGCTGGTAAAGGCATGGCGACGCAAAGCCTCGTTGTTCCGACCCTTAACATGCTCCTGTAAAAGGTCGAGCACATCCGTCACTGAAGAGGTAGAGTCGGGAGGCACGTGCAACGTGTGCTCCAAAACTCTCTGGGTCTCCAGTGACAAACACATCCGCAGTTGGATGAGCTGTTTGTTTGGAGGCATGCTGTCAAGGTCCACCATCATGGAGTAATCTGTCCAGCGCCGCCTCCACTCACGAAAAAGCTGAAACGTGACGTCTGGTGAGAGGGCGGGTGGGGGTTGAACAGATGCCTTGGGAGCTGTTGGGGTAGCAAGAGTACCTGGAGGAAGCTGGTGTGGTGGAGGAGGGAGTGTACTGGCGCCTTGGTGCGCGCTACCTACAAGTGAGGGAGGGTGG